GGACCGGCCTAAGACAGCGATTTTTAATAATTAATAACTCATTAACTATTGCAAAACCTGCAAAGTGGTACAGGACTTTTCGACTTAGTCTAGTCCACTCTATCCCACAATAAGCGTTGATGCGGGTATTACATAACACCCTGTATATTTGATGTTAATACAAATTTGAATTTATGGTAACGTTGGATAAACTTTTTAGGAATTTTACGACAGTCATATTTTCGACGATTTATTTAAGGAAAAAAAGAACACCATTTCAAATCATCAAACAGTTGTTTGAAGTTACTATGCAGTAAAATAAAAGTTTCTTGCACTGTGAAAGCAGCTTGTAAAGTTACGCAAATAGGGTATTTTATCTTCGAAAGGATGTAAGCAAGCTACAAAAGAGCGATCAAAAGAATTCGCATTGCGATTCATTCGGCGCGAATATAAATCTGAACTACTCTCCCCCCGCCCTCCCCACCGAACATACCACAGTATGATAAATTTTATGGCTCGACAAATGTTTCGGATGCCACAGTTATCGGATCTACTATACCGATTTGTTAGGAACACTGTTTGTTAGGATGTATTGCATGTTACGCATTGTTTTGTCACGGTATTAAAATTATAGGTGTTAGAAATATCAGGAATAAACGTGCTGTTTGCGTGTGTACGCTTTGTTACAGACTTGGGATATGTGCAATAAAATTGCGAATACGGTAAAGAAAGAAGATTGTTGTATTGACTGTCAGATATGCTGAAATAAATCGAAAATTCGTTGCAAGAAATTGTTGCGATTTTCTTTGCACTATAAAGAATTCTGATTGATGCGTCATTAACCGACATGTATACATGCGTTAACGTTCTTCGATATTGTACTCAACGAATTTTCGTTTTATTTCAGAGCATATCTGACAGTGTACAATTTTCTTTACCGCGCTCGCAATTCTACATATCCCAAGTCTGTAACAAAGTGTACACACGCAAATACCACGTTTATTTCTGATATTCCTAACACCTAAATACGGTATTGAGTATAGTAATTTTTCTAACAACATTATTGTTTTGTTCCATACATAGCATGAATTCCGTTGACAATACTTTTCCGCCATATTATGCGTAATATTTCGATTGTATCCGTTGTGTGCATAATTTATAACATTAAAATTTACTATTATGATTATAATATAGTTTAAAACATAAAAATTAAAATTTTTTACTAGAAAACTATACAATATTTTCTCGCATTATATAAATACGTTTCGAAATATTACAGTTTGGACAAAGCCAGTGTAAAAGAAATCAAACTGTTTGTGTATTCGAAACAGTCATTTCGCGTATTTATGAAGAACGTAAGATACATTTTCTTCTTAGATACTGCGTTCACGAGATGTCGCGTTTTAATTTCTCATATTTATCGGCAAATCATAGAACAGACAAATATAAAAAAATAAAATTCAAAATGAGAACACGATATGAATTAATGCAGTTAAATATATACGCTTTCATGCATATGGTTGTGAAGTTCGTCTTATTAAGATATGTAGATTTGTACGGAAAACTTTATTGACTCGCAGTACAATGGAACCTGAACAGGGGCGAACTTTTCAGTTTTCAATTCAAATTTCGAATTTCGATTAAAGTTTCAGTAATTGCGACGTTCGTCCTGCCCTTTCAGTGGAAGAAAAAAGTAGCATACTTATCTGTTATCAAAAATTGACGTGGAACTAATTGATTTCTTCCCTAGTAGCACAGTGCGTTGACCAAACATTGGCTAAACATTGGCCCCATGCAACCAAATATTAGGTCAATGTTTAACCAATTTGTGGCCAATGCACTGTGCTACTAGGGTTATATCTTCCAAGCTGAAGAGCATTAATTGAAGCAGCGTTTATTGTGTGGCCGGCTTAAATTAGTTTACTTTTTTTTTAAGACGACATTCTGGAATAATGAGTCTGTATATATTTTATACACATATGTTCGTGTGTTTCTGTGTTTATGTGTATTTCAAGTAAAATGCTGCTACTTTTTCCTGTCTTTCTCCTAGTGAATTGTGTACTTTAAAATCAAACATTCATGATTATCTATTGATTGAACATTTGACTGATGCGCGACACTCAACATTGTGCTCAAATTGGCTTACACACTTTACCGCACGCGTTAATTTTTTTTCCAGTTCTCTGCTACTTTTAATCAATTATTTGCCGCATGAAAGAGGATCACGGGTGCGAGGCATATATGGATACATAAAAGCTGCAAATTGCTTTTAGCCGCTGCTCTCGCGTTCGCGCCTCGGTGTACCTGTGATGCGAGCGGTATTACGTTGGTTAAAGTCGCACGAGTGGCGGTCGGAGGAGATATAAAATGGAAAAAAAGGCCCTGCGACAACACGCGTATTGACAAGGCCGTGACAAGGCCGAGAGAGAGCAGAGTACCGCACTTCACGGATTTAATTTCAATCGCGTGCGCGCGCGAGCGACAGATGGGTATTGTAAATCGCAAATATTTGTTCAATTTCGATCGGTGAGCTCGGCAAACACATCTCGACTGTTTCTCGCGGGCATTTTTAGCGGAGGAATGAATGCGGGAAAATGCAAAAGACGCAGGAAATAATACGTAGGCTAATGTGAAATGAGGATGGAAAGGAGAGAGAGGGACATAGAGAAGGCACACAACGGGTGATGTTAATTACCTCCTTACTCGGATATGACGTACGCTAAAAGGAAGAACACGATCAGGCGAATATGTAGGATACGTCGTAGTCGGAATTTGGATACACGATCCTTGAGGTGATCGAGCAGATAGACTACTTCCAGCGAGACATAAATTTTCCTGTGTAATTAATCGTAAATGAGAAGCTGTTGCGTGACGTGACAGGTGGATCGAAAAATAGCGAGAATTTATTCTCATGTAAAAGACAGTAAGAAATAAAGGGGGAAAAATTCTAATAAAGGGAGAGAAAGAGAGACAAACAGACACGAATACATCGAATCACGGGGAACAATTAATTTATCTTATCGTTTACTTAATTTATTTCAAATGTGTTATTTAGCTAATTTACTTTGACCGTTTATCTCGTCAGGACGTAACACGTTACAATGCGATTTAATTGATTTGACGGATGACGTGCTGTAACATTCCAATATCCGCGCCGTAAATCTTTCAGCGCCTATATATTGGAAAATTTATAACAAGTGTCTCCGCAATGTATGCATTTGCGTTTATCCGTAATTGCACACTTTAATTGTATGCGCGTTAATATCATTCGTTTATCGGAGCGCTACCGAAGTTTTCGTATTTAAACAATATGCATATTGATAAGCGATTAATACACAATTAAATAGTTTTGTTGTGTATCCCTGAAATTGCGAACCCGCGAAAATTCGCTACGTGAAATGTAATATTGGCAAATTAATAGTATCGGCCGCTCGAGTTCTCCGTTATGCCGGGTAATATCGCCCTGCATTTGCACTTTGAGTGTGAATCCCATGTTTAATACGTAACCCAGTTTGCAAGGTCGCGCTTGCGTTTCGGAAGATATTCGCGCATTTGGGTAATTTTCGCAAAATTGCAAGACGTTGATTTACTTCGAGCAACG